CGCTAGAAGCTTCTTGAGGATGTTTGTGAAGAAGGAAGACTCTCTCTCTTGCTCTAATTCACCAAAACTCAAGGCTCTCTGCTCTAATCTCTCTGGAAAATGCTCAGCCCCTGTCAATGATGGCTATAGGGGGGTATTTATAGCCTCCTTAGACGATAACTGAAGAAATAGCTGGTCAATAACTGTCTCTTTAGGCGCGGCAGCTGATGCTGTCGCGGCTAAAGGGCGCGACAGTCGACACTGTCGCGGCCAAAGAGCGCGGCAGTCGACACTGCCGCGGCTAAAGGGGCAGTTACACCCACGTTCATACGTGTTTGAAACAGTTCTCCCACGACCTTTAACCACCTTTTTCGTGGTTTAACTGCTTTTCCACATCAGCACACGTTCTATTTCTGATACTCCGCCACGTGGACTTTAAATAATCATCAGATAACTGTATTATAACTGCTGTAGCATCCTGCTTTAACTGCCGCGGCACCATAGGTTGCAGCGGTTAAGCCGCGACACCATAGGCTGCCGCGCCTTAGCCGCGGTACCTTGGTCTGCCGCGCCTTAGCCGCGGCACCTTGGTCTGCCGCGCCTTAGCCGCGGCACCTTGGTCTGCCGCGCCTTAGCCGCGGCACCTTGGTCTGCCGCGCCTTAGCCGCGGCACCATGTCCTGCCGCGCCGCCATATGTTGCTTGATGACGTGTATATTGTTCTTCTATATCGTCTTGAGTGGTGTTTGAATGTCTGTAAGCATTTTTTGATGTCTACAGATACCCCCTCCAAAGTATCTCAGACTCATCATTTTTTGAGAGGAGTCTGGGACACTTTGGATATGATAAGCTTTTCTTGCAATTTCTCCAGTGCTTTGTTGGGGAAGTTGCGTAGAATGGTCTGCGAATAGCTTCAATTCTTGACTTCTTTATCTTTTAGCTTATTCAGTGCTTTGTAGAATAGCTAAAATTCCTCCGGTGCTGCGTTTATCGCGTGGCCGTTGTCGAAGTCTCAAATTAAAACTGCTGTCGAAGAATTTGAGAAATAGTTTATACTCATATACTATATTGGAGTGTTCGGGAAATAGTTTAACCTCATATACCCGTTGGGAGGTAGCCAGGTTATTCTTAAGAATATTTTGAGTGATATTCTCCAGAAACTTCCTGTTGAGATTAGGGAAATAGTTTAGACTCGTATACCTATTGGAGTATTCTGGTCTCTTGTTTGTTGGTAGAGATGAACCCGGAATCGGAGAGGAAGAATTTTATATTCTATCTCCTGGTCTCTTGTTTGTTGGTAGAGATGAACCCGATGATGGAGAGGAAGAATTTTATATTCTATCTCCTGGTCTCTTGTTTGTTGGTAGAGATGAACCCGATGATGGAGAGGAAGAATTTTATATTCTATCTCCTGGTCTCTTGTTTGTTGGTAGAGATGAACCCGATAATGGAGAGGAAGAATTTTATATTCTGTCTCCTGGTCTCTTGTTTGTTGGTAGAGATGAACCCGATGATGGAGAGGAAGAATTTTATATTCTATCTCCTGGTCTCTTGTTTGTTGGTAGAGATGAACCCGATGATGGAGAGGAAGAATTTTATATTCTATCTCCTGGTCTCTTGTTTGTTGGTAGAGATGAACCCGATGATGGAGAGGAAGAATTTTATATTCTATCTCCTGGTCTCTTGTTTGTTGGTAGAGATGAACCCGATGATGGAGAGGAAGAATTTTATATTCTATCTCCTGGTCTCTTGTTTGTTGGTAGAGATGAACCCGATGATGGAGAGGAAGAATTTTATATTCTATCTCCTGGTCTCTTGTTTGTTGGTAGAGATGAACCCGATGATGGAGAGGAAGAATTTTATATTCTATCTCCTGGTCTCTTGTTTGTTGGTAGAGATAAACCCAGAATCGGAGAGAAAGAATTTTATATTCTATCTCCTGGAGTAAAGAAACTCAAAGTGGGATCTCCACTTAGAGAATCTGGATTGGTTTGAATAATCCTAACTGTCATAAGGTTTGATTACTCAATTCAAAAGTGGACCCTTCGTTCGCAAAAAATGAATCGAAAGGAGATTTTGGTTGTGGTCCTAACTGTAGTAAGGTTTGACCAAGTGGGAGTTTTGAGACGATCCTAACTGTTTAAAGGTTTGATCGTTCAATTTGTGGACCTCTCGTTCATGGAACGAATCGAGAGGGGATTTTGGCTTTGGTCCTAACTGTTTAAAGGTTTGACCAAGATGGGAATTTGAGACGATCCTAACTGTTTAAAGGTTTGATCGTTCAATTTGTGGACCTCTCGTTCATGGAACGAATCGAGAGGGGATTTTGGCTTTGGTCCTAACTGTTTAAAGGTTTGACCAAAATGGGAATTTTGAGACGATCTTAACCGTAGGAAGGTTTGATCGTTCAATTTGTGGACCTTTCGTTCATGGAAGGAATCGAAAGGGGATTTTGGTTTTGGTCCTAACTGTAGTAAGGTTTGACCAAGTGGGAGTTTTGAGACGATCCTAACTGTTTAAAGGTTTGATCGTTCAATTTGTGGACCTCTCGTTCATGGAACGAATCGAGAGGGGATTTTGGCTTTGGTCCTAACTGTTTAAAGGTTTGACCAAGATGGGAATTTGAGACGATCCTAACTGTTTAAAGGTTTGATCGTTCAATTTGTGGACCTCTCGTTCATGGAACGAATCGAGAGGGGATTTTGGCTTTGGTCCTAACTGTTTAAAGGTTTGACCAAATGTGAGTTTTGTGAGGGAAGATTGATCTAAAGGAGTGATCAAATCTCATCTCAACAAAAGAGTATTCGGAAATCACCGTGGGGATGTAGTGTTTAACACTTTGTTTGCAATGATCGGGTTATTCCTAAGAAAGTTACATATACATTCTTCCGAGAACTTTCCGTTACATGAACCATCCACCCCCAGCTTTTTCTTGCGAAACTGAGTTTATCATTATGTTTAGCTATATGATCGGGTTATCCTTAAAAGTACCATGCATGGCATTCTCTAGGAACTTCCCGTGAAAGAAAGGAAATAGTTTAGACTCATATACCTGTTGGAGTATCGAGGAGCAGTTTATACTCGTATACTCTTCGGAGTGTGGGGAAACAGTTTATACTCGTGTACCCAATGGAGTTGGGGAAACAGTTTATACTCGTGTATCCAATGGAGTAGGGTCATCTTTAATCGGCTTGTTTCGCCATTATGACGCCGGAGTCAATTAATGCTTGGATTTTATTTTTGAGTCCGAAGCAAATCTCAGTGGGATGAAGAACCCTTCTGTGGTACGCAATGGAGTTAAAGTCGTCTTTACTTGGCTTGTTTCGCCGTTATGACGCCGGAGTCAATTAATGCTTGGATTTTATTTTTGAGTCCGAAGCAAATCTCAGTGGGATGAAGAACCCTTCTGTGGTACGCACAGTAGTTTGGATCCGTAATTCTCTTAGCTCCCTCCTGATCTTTAATAGGTGGTAGCTCGATTTTGTCATTGGCGAGGGTTCCCAGTGATTGCAGATGTCGTCGGTTGGCTTCTCTCGGCTTTCTTTCTTTTAAGAAAGTGTTCAGCTTGTTCACCGCGTATTTTCAAATCTTTCCAAGTTTTGGATGGTACGACCCCCAGAGCTTCCAGGACATCGATAGAGAGATTATTATGGCATGTTTGCAGAATGAACTCCTCTGTAACAGGATCTCTGCAATTCATTGCCTTGTTACGGAAGCGCTTGACAAAATTGTTGACTGACTCCCCGTCATTTTGTTTTCATCCAGAAGGGCAAACTCCCACTGTGGTCGCCAGCTTGTTTTCGTCAAAAGTTGGTTTTGTCATGGAATTCATTATATCTTCGGTCGATTACAATAAATTCAAAAAAGAGATACCTTTTTTATATACAACTTTTTAGAAACAAACGCAGGATCGTTGTTTGGATCGCTGCTTGCGTGGGATCTTTGCCTGTGCCGGGAGCGCTTTGACTCGTGGACCACCAAATCACAGATTCTGATTGAACCGTGAGGGGTTTAATGATTCTTCCTTCGTTTATCGAAGTAAGAATTTGAAGCGAATATCTTATCGATGTAAGATGTTCACTCTTCTAAAGATCAAGTCAGAGCTTAGATCTCTAGGAATCGCCAAAAGCTTCTTGAAGATATTTGTGAAGAAGGAAGACTCTCTCTTTTGCTCTAATTCACCAAAAGCTTAAGTCTTTTCTGCTCTTAACTGCTCTCTGTCATTTATTTCATGTCTAGGGAGGTATTTATAGGGGTATGAATGCATAACAGTGGAAACGGGGGCGAGATAACTGACCAAACAAATGCTCTTTGGCCGCGTCAGTCAACACTGTCGCGGCTATTGGCGCCGGCTATTGGCGCGGCAGTGTAACCTGCGGCGGCCGAAGAGGCAGTTATCAGCACGTTTGATCGTGCTTAAAACCGCTCTCCCACGACTTTTAACCACCTTTTTTCGTGGTTTAACTGCTTGTACACGTCAGCACACGTTCTGTTTCTGGTATGCTGCCACGTGGGCCTCAAAAATCATCATATAACTGTTTCGTAACTGCTGCAACACTCCTTTAACATAGCCGCGGCACCCTAGATTGCAGCGCCCAAGCCGCGACACGACAAGCTGTCGCGCTCCATAATTACCATCCCATGGTGGGAATGGTGAGAAAGTATGCTGAGGTGAGGTGAATGGCTGTGGTCGAACAGGCATGTAGTTCATGTTAATCCCTGATGTAGGACTTGGCATTGCATTCGAATGAGAAGGCACGCTTTGCTTATCTGCCGGATTGTTAGCCATACCTAATATATTTTGTAAGCATAGCCATATTAACAATAAAGAAATTTATAGAATATGGGATATGTATGCATTTAGCAGGGAATATAGTAAACGATGATATTTCTAGTTCAAACAACATAACAAAATAGCAAGTGATAAAAGTAGTAATGGTTTGTTACAAGCAAAGAAACATTAAACAATATCGATGCGAACAGTATTTTAAAATTCACCAAGTTATTACATAGCCATAGGACAAATACTACACTAAGTTAAACCGCTCTCCATTGTGTTACCACCATTGTACTTTGCACAATAATCCACCCACATCGCCCAAGCAATTTGATCTCGTAACTCCTTCCATTCATTTCTAACATCTCGATCCTCTCTTTGTGTCCTACTTTGAGTATAGTCCATCACATTTGATTCGTCCTCATTTGTCTCTTCCCCAGTATCTTCATCAATTTCAACATTTTCATTTAAAATATCATCATCCGGATCCTCCAAGGCAATAAAGTTGTGCAACACAGTACACGCTAGTACAATGTCCACTTGAGTGGGAAATGGATAATTCGGCTTCCCCGCAAGAATTTTAAACCGATTCTTCAGTATCCCAAATGTGCACTCAATTTTTGATCTTAAAGATGAATGCCTTAAATTGAACAACTCCTTCCTATTCTTTGGTGTCCTACCGGTGTGCTCTTTTAAATGATATCGGACACCGCGATACGGGGATATGAAACCTGGCATTGTGGTGTATCCAGCGTCACATAGGTAATATTTACCTACATTAATTAAACAGTATTTTAAAATCTAAAATATTGTCAAGTAGTTAATAAATTATTCATAATGTGCACAAGTGAGAATGAATACCATCATAAACTCGGAGCCAACTGCTCAGGATTCTAGACAGGGCGTCTTGTAATACCCTATAATCATTTGCTGCCCCTCCTAGCCAGCCAAGACATAAGTAAATAGTTTATTGGGGGTGCATGCTGCTAAGATGTTTTGGGTGACCCCTTTTCGCCCTCTAAACCGTGCAACTAGGTCACTAGGTAAAACCGCGTCGACGTGTGTGCCATCTATCAAACCAATGCAGTCCTATAAAAAATTATAAATTATACATAGTTGAATAAAAATAAGTTTATTTGGAAAATTGTTAAGTTGTATGTATTTAACTTACCTTAAAGTAAGGAAAATAATTTGAGTTGTTTGCAATCTCCTCGGGAACTTCTTTTGGGGCTTGCTTCATGTACCGATCACGTAATCCATTCATTGCTTGCAAGACTTTATTGAAATACCTGCTAACTGTTTCCCATGATCTTATGAACTCAGTTCTTATTATTCTATTTTTAGTTTTGTGCCCAACAATACTCAGGAACATAGCAAGCTGTTCTTCAACTTGAACGTGTCTTGTATCTTTTAATAAACCGTTTTCTTTCATTACTTCAACAAGTTTAAAAAATGCCCTCGGTCTCATTCTAATATAAGATTGGCAGCTATCTTGATAGCCCTCCAGTACACGACTGAAGTGAGCCTCTCTACAATATATTTTTCTAATCTTTTCTTGCTTCGTACAATTTGATATTCTCTTGCGCTTAGCACGCATTCTCAAGATACATGTTACCAAAGTGACGACGGCGCAGACAGCTGTATTAGCACACGTCCTCTTCAATTCTTCCTCATCTTTCATATCCATCTACATCCGTTTTAACGTTATCATACAGTTACAGCTTAAGATGGCTACTTATTTCTTGTCAAAATTAAGTAGATAATTGATACAAATATTTATTTCTTTTAAAGCAAGAAATCTAATTGCAATAATAAATTATTTTAACTAATGTTGCATTCCATCTCACACAATTATCAAGAACAACACATTTTATTACCCGGTGGATTTTCATGTAATGAACTTAACCCTATACTTCATGTCATGCATTCACATTCTTTGGTAAACACATATATTGTAAACAACTCATTCACACAAATATCATGCATTCTATTTAACACAATTAACTGAAATTTAGTCAACATGTACCCTATTTTCTGGTAATTATACATGTAACGAATTATCAAGAATATTATCATTCTACAGAAACAGTTCATCACATTAAGCACGAAGAAATTAGGCTAAAAAAGAGTTTAAAAATTTATACCTAGCTGCAGAGGGGGGAAAATGCCGACGTCCAAGCAGCAAAGTTGCCGAATACAGAGAACCCACCGTAGCCAACAAAATGCTCTGAACCAGAACAATTTCGAGTAGGTAACACCAAGAATCAAAGGCCAGAAACCCACCAACAAGATCGTGGAAATCAAATTAAATAAATCAAAGGCCAGAAACCCTCCGACTTCAGAGAATCTAGGGTTTCGACAAACAGCCCCGACCCCAAGTAGAAGAAGACGAAGGGCGGGAGAAGAGGCGCGAAGACGAAGGGCAGGAGAACAACGATTCCAGATCTAGGGCTTGATTTCGTGACCTCTAGGAATCGGAATCGGAATCGGAATCGACATTGAAGCAAATGTCAGAAATCTAGCCCAAATCCGCCCAGCCTTCTCCGATTTGGGTTTCTATAAAAAAACCCATACTGTTGCTACTTCTAGGAATTGGTAATCCCAAAAAATTTTCTAAGCCAAACTCAAGAATAGGATTCACAAAGAATTCAAAAATTACAATTCTGCCACTGTCAGTCCCGGGGTGGGTGGGTGGGTGGGGGGGGGGATGAGTGGGAATAGAATATAATTCTAACTTTTTATTCTCTTATCAAACATGATGTAATTTTGGATGCTAAAAATGTCATTCTTATTTCTCATCAATTCCCACTTAATGTGAGAATTGTCACTCCAATGAGTTATTAAGAAATTGATTTTTCCACTAAGTGAGAATAAAAACAATAAATAAATTTCAGATATAACCTTCTTAAATATATTCCCACTTACTTTTTAAATCGCGTCTAAACATGGAAATGAGCATTCCATTCCCACATCAATTTTATTTTATTCCTATATTCATTCAATTCTCACTTGACTCTATTCCAGCGTAACAAACGAGACGTTAGTGATTGTTGTGTATACATAGGCTCATTTAAATATCCTAATATTTCACCACATTTACACTAAAAAATCCTAAGTTGTAAAAAATAGCACATAAATGCTCTAAATTGTCCACTCTTAGAATATTGTAAACACTGTTTAAAACTCCCATTATGATAAAAAATATACCAGTATAAAAATTTAACAAATAGATGAATGGTAGGTATAATGGTAAATATGACAATAAATTGAGTCAATACAATTATTAAAATGTCACACACTAATCACATGTGAATAATCTTAGAAATATCCCCATACGCAACTAACAAAATCTACTGACGTGTTAATTTCTTACAAATTAGAATATTAAACTGTTACTTTTTTTTACAACTTAATATATTGAAATACTATTTTTTATAACTTAAGATATTTAAATGTAAAAGTGGTGAAACAATAAAGTATTTAAATGTAAAAGTGGTGAAACAATAAATTTGAGGAAAGAAAAGTTAAAGCAAGGCATACACAAAACATTCCAAACGAGTGAAGGACCAGAGAGCAAAGATGATGGTTATATTTTGTTTTGGAAAATTTGTGAGTGAAGTAAATAAAACAACTTGAGACGGAAATCTAATTGCATAGGCCCTGGCTAAAAATTGCGTAGCATAAGGGGAAACTAAAATTTGATAGCGTAATACATTTTCAATAGAACTTTCTAAATCTACAAAAATACATTGCTAAAATCAAGATCTTTCAACAAAACAAAGTATTCCTTGTATATAAGTATTCATTTAGATTTCGACGGTAAATACCAATTCAAAAGAATTTAAATGTTTCCATAAAAACATGAGTAGCCTCGGATGAATGTAAGGTGACAAATTGGTTCTGTTAAAATACAAAAATATAAATCTCAACTCTCATCATAAATTTGGAGTTTATGCGTAATGGTTGGAGAGACTTAGTTTAAAATAATATTAGAACAATCCAGATTCAAATCCCACCGGCCATGACTTTAAAGTGGATTTTTCAAAGATTGATAGCATTGTCTGGGTACAAGTTTCAGCCTTTTATAATTTCGTTATTTTAGTCTAATGGTTAAGAGGTTCTATAAATTATAAGATCTCAATGAATTTCCATAATGATAATCGTTATTTTTCAGTTTTAAAGATTACTACCGTACAATAATATTAAGCCTTATTTGGACTGCAGCAAGGACATTTTCAAGAAACACGTTTTCCACACAAAATCTCAGTTACTTTTCATTCTTAAACACTAATTAATGGATTTGGATCATCTCCACTACAAAAAAGTAGTGGAGAGACCACTACTTTTAATCATAAGCGTTGATTATTTAGTAGGCGGTTATGATACAATCTAAATCTAACACTTATCATACCCCCGTCTATTGCACTCATTCCTAATTTGTACTAAAAGAAAAAATCATAACCATCAACTAGATAATCAATGGCTGTGATTATGTAGTGGTTCATCCACTATTTTTTTGTAGTGGAGAGGATCCGAATCCCTAATTAATACCGAAGAAATTAACACTGGCAAAGGAAAATATATACAATATTAACGACCACCATAATTTTACAAAATAAAATACCCAGCGGGACGCCGTAGCCTCCCGATACACACACAAGGGATCTTTTTATATAAAACATAAGATCCCATATCCTAACCACGCAAAAAGCTAGCTTCACATTATAGAGCAGGCATTAGGATTGTCGTCACTAAACATTCGCCCACAGCCCTCTCGCCCCGACAATCCCGCCATAAAAAGCTCGCCGGCGGCAGCCCATAAGTACGACGTGCACGATGGATTCCTTCGTCGTACGCCGTGCTTCCGAAGTTAACAAAACCGAACGAGCTCGACGCCGTCGAGTACGCGAAAGGCGTTCACGACACAAACTAGTACCAAGTCGAATAATTCAGCCGCGTTGGATGTCGATTATGATTGTAGTGCTGATGGTCGATGGTCGCGCCGTAATTTGGGACTGGTAGCTGGGCCAGAGCACCGCTCTTCGGCCGATTTTCGAACCGCCTTCAGTACTTTTTTCTGGTCGGCGTAGCCGGTGACGGTGACTTTCTGGAGGGGCATGTCGATGTCGACGGTGTCGACGCCACGGAGTTTGGCGAGGGATTTCCTGATGCGGGCCTCGCAGCCTGAGCAGCACATGTGCACGCATAGCTCTACGATCTACGGAACGAAATGATAATTTTAGTTTTAGAATTGGAGGAGGATTCAGTTCCCGATGAATAAAAATAGTAGGTGACTGCAATTAATTATTGAACCGGATTATGGGGCTGTTTGGTTCTTTTTTTTTTGGTGGTAAAAGTGGGAAAAGCTGTCAAAAATGTCAGCTTTTTGACAGCTTTCCCCAAAATCACCCCTTAAAAATTGATTTTTATCACCCTTAAAAAGGTGATTTTAGGGAAAAGCTATCAAAAAGCTGACATTTTTGACAGCTTTCTCCTCTTATACCACCCAAAAAAACCTATCCAAATTGCCCCTAAGTACGGATCCTCTCTCCACGAAAAAACGTTGATTTCTTTACTGGGTGGTTGTGATGAGTGTTGAATATGGAATGAAACACAACCGGGCCACTAAAGAAATCAACGACAGTTATTCCTCCGCAATCTTTTTTTTTATAGTGGAGAGAATCCAAATCCGTTAACTAGAGCATGCATTTATATATGAGCTAAATTAAACATTTTAAATATGAAGAATAGTGTAGGCTAAGTGGCTAACCGTCATCTTGTTGAACTTGGTTGATTCTTCTTCTCCCCGAGCTTTTAAACGAATAGAAGTAGGTAGCAAGTTTGCATTCGGCAGTGCTCGGATTGGTTCAGGAGTGCTCTGAGGCGCTTGAAATATATAGAGAGAGCAGCGAGGAGTGGTGGAATCTTAAAAAGATCCGGAGTAAAAGCATGAAGAAGGCTCCGCGATGCTAGTGCTCATAAATTGGAGATTGTTTAGTATATAATAATTAGCACCGACCTTTTCTTTTTGGGCCAGCGAGACAATGCCACGTGTTAGGAATACCTCCGACTGCAGGTTTGGTACATAAGATGCGCAAAACACGATACATGGAACCAAAACGAGCAAAACATGACACGTGGAATTAAAAAAAAGAGTGCGCAACTTACTAGCCCGCGAGACGTATAGCATTCCGAACTAAATCTTAATGAATACATATTAACGCAAATTAAGAAAAATGCGTTACTGAGAGAGTTCAAACCTTCAATTCATAAAAAAGAACGTTGAATGTGACATCTTACAATATAAAATTTAAGCTTCAAATCTGATTAAACACTTTAACTATGCATATAGTTCTATACTTCCATCTTAAAAAAAGCAAGCAAGACAATGCATGCGATGGCAAGTTCGGCCGAAAGGTCTTAGAGTACTCGTATGATAATGTAAGCATTATTCGAAATGATAATATAAACATTATTCAGAACATTTCATCTGCGCAGAATTATTCAAAATTAAAAAAACCATTTGTTCTCATAGCACCGTCTTGAAGGCTGTATTATATTATACATCAGAACCGGCTACATGCGAGCGGTCAGTCTGAGCCGTAAACAAAGAGGGTAAAATACTAGTTTTACGCCCCTACTAAATGCATCATAGGTCCGTTCCCATACAACACGTACCCCGTATTGAAGAACTGAGCTGTCTGGTGTTCGGGAGCCGGTAGCTTGATGTGATGATGCGAAGAGGAATAATTGGGAGTTGGATATGGGTGGGCCCAACAATTTGGTCCTAGGCGGCCATAACGGCCGACATCGGCAGAGTCCGAAACGGATCGTGCTTCGTCCCAACGAAGAGCAAAGAGGGTGATGATGATCAGTACTACGAATAAACTTTTTGATACCTCGGCGAATGGATGAAGAGCACGTGGAGTTTGTCCTAAAGTCCCCGGGTCAAGTGGGCTTGCTGCATCAAGCTATATCCGTTGATTCTTGGGATGATTTTTTTTTTTTAAAAGAGGGGTGCATAAAGGTATTACAAAAGATGAGACGAATATTTGCCCACTGGAGAATACACGTATTAAGAAAAGAATTTTATAAAAAGGGAAATTATATTTACAAGAAGTTAGTTGATATCTTATGTCATATAAAGAGAATTCGAAGTTGAGCTACATTATAGCCATATTAGAGAATATTCCAATATGATAAGGATGTACATTTTTCTCTTTTTTAAAAGTTAATGCTTGTTCCTTCATAAAAATAAGTTGTCGGAAATCTATCAAATGATGTTCTCTTCTGTTTTGCTAGTCAATTAAAAAAACCAAGGGCCTAATGCATATTGGACAGGCCCTGGGAAATAGAAGAGGCCCATAACGAAATGTAAAAGGCACTATTGAGTTTCGGCCCAGTTAAGATGTTTTGTTGAAGCCTGAAGTCCCTCCGATGGAAGATATCTCAAACAAAGGCGACGTGGCTACACAAAAACCCGCGACTTGAAACACCCACAAAAGGCCCACGCTCTCTCTCTCAGTATCCGATTCCCCTCACTCGCGGTAAGCCAAATGTCAACCCTCACCGCCTCGTACCGCATCTCGCCGGTCCTCTCCGCGCGTCCGCGCTTCCGGAAGAACCCTCGACGGACCCTCGTCTGACCAAAGTCGTCCTTCCGAAAGAAGAAGACAGCCGAGAAATGGTCGACCGGCGTACGCTCCGGCCGGAGTATCGCGGCCCTGCCGACATCGACGAAGCTGAGGAAGTACTGGGGAGGTCGAGGGGACGAGGATCCCGTCACCGCCACCGACGATTTTATTTGGAATAAGGAGTTTATGGATCGGATGAAGAAATTGATTACAGACGATCAGGCCTCGACGAATCCCATTTCGTCATTGGTAAGTTCACAAGTATTTTGGTGAATTGTATTTGCAAATTTACCCTTCAATTCTCAATGTTTGCTAATTTACTTTCCAGTTCTATTGTATTGAGCTGAAATATCCCGAATCTGCTGAAGTCTTTAGTTTTTGAACGGCAGTGTAAGTGAAATATTCCTTAGCGTGAATTTTAGGTAATTTAAATCAATGTGGTAGAATTGGGGGTAAATTATCGAATTTGGTTGATTCGGGGTTCGTAAACCCTTTGCCGAATCCCGTATTATGGTGGGAAATTGCAAGAATGGTGTCTAATTTTCGTTTTTATGGTGGGAGATGAAGAAGGAGGATACGAGCTCGGGGTTCTTGAGCTTGAATAGATCAATGAGCCTTGACAGGTTATTGGAACAAAACTTTACTTGTTCTCATATTAGTTTTTCGTTATCACATTGTTTGGCAGAACCCTAATCTTTTTTTTTTCTTTTTTTTTTTGCGGATATTCAGTCTTGACATTGATCTGAGTAAGGAGCTGAAGGCGCCGCCAAAGCCGGTGTTGGAGCAGCAAGTGGAGGCTGCAAGGCGCGGGCTTTCTGTTTCTCAAGTGAGAGCCATTGATGGATTTTTTTTCAGTATTTTTTTTTGTCAGTGATATTGAAGTTTTAGCTGAGAATTTGTTTGTGTTGCATTTTTGGAATGTCGTCATCTAGAGTTCTGAGGGGGTTTCGTCACCAAGATGGAGGCTGGTGCCCACTCGGCGGGAGCAAGCTAAATGGGACCGGGCAAACAGGGCTGCCACTGGGGGTACCGTAAGTTTTTATCATTCTCAAGATTGTAGTTGGTTTTCGTCACCTAGTTTAGCAGAATGAGCTACCGAAAGATAGAAACAGTGAGATCCATGTTGGATTTTTTGGTCAAAACCGCTTTCCAAATTGAGTTTTCAAAATATATATATATATTAACTACAAGTACTTTTATTAAATGCTTAGTAGCCTAGTGGAAAGTTAAAGTTTTGATGTTTTAAAAGGTACTCTGTTTGAGGCTTGCCAACGGCAAACCGAGAAGTGTTTTATTTTAATTAATCTCTCATAAGTACTAGTGGGCCGTGGGCTCGTGGGTTAATAGGCCGGGGATCGGGGCTAATCGGGCTGAGACGCTAATTAACGTTTTATTAGGCGCACTTTATACTTCGCACGGATGCATCGGGGCGAGGTGACGCTCTTTGGCGCCACATCGGCTACCACGAAGGTTGCCTCGCAGGCCAGATGTATCGGGGCGAGGTGACGCTCTTTGGTGCCACGATGGTGCCACGTTGGCTGCCACGAAGGTTGCCTCGCAGGCTACTTCATAGCATGCAGATGAGCTATGCATTCGCACGAGGGTGTGATCCTAGCGTTCTCGTAATCAGACGAGGTTCGTCAATTGTTTGACGAGGTTCGCTCGTTTGACGAGGTTCGCCTGTTCGACGAGGTTCGCTCGTTCGACGAGGTTCGCCCGTTTGACGAGGTTCGTCTGATTTGCTGAGACGTGATCCTTGCGTTTCGTAGTAACGCGTCCATTGCTTACCTCGTATTCAGAAGTTGCTGCATGCAATAGTTACAACAATATTTACATCAATTTAATGGATTGTTGTTACAATCATAATTGCCATTATGATTTGTAACAGGCACATTAATTGAGAGTGACTCTTGAGCTGGCCTTAGAAGCCTATAAATAGGGTCCCTTGGGCAGGTCTTGGTGCGAACTTAAAATACGAACGTCGGATCGAGGATATCTTGACGTTGTTGCTGTTGTGCTACTGCTGCAGAAACTGTGCCCGCAGGAACTTGCTCCTGAAACCGAAAGGTTTTGAACCGAAAGGTTCTGAGATCGAGGAGATATTTGCCTTGATCGAAAGGTCTTCTAGATCGAGGAGATCTTAACAGTACTAGATTGGTGCACACCAGAGTACTGTACTGCTATTTCTGGAAGCAGTTTGGCCTTGGGATCCTTGCACCGGAGTAGGCCAAATATTGCTTTAAACACAGCGTTTCACAAACGCACAGCTGTTAACTTGAAAAAGTTTAAAATTACAGCACATCAACTTTTACTGTTTTATTCCAGATTTAACCACAATCTCCAACAATCCACATACTCAGGTGTGACCAGTAGGCTTGTCGAATAAAATGAGCAGCCACCTCCTCATACACATTTTTTCCTTTCAAATTATAGCTTTGAAGTGTTTGTGGTTCGATATGTTGTGTGTGCATAGAGTTTGTGCTTTTGTTTTGCTTGTGAAATAGTGCAGGCTAATTGTACGTCATAAGAATGTGTTGGTGTAGGATGTAATGCTACGAGAATCAAAACGACCTCCTGGGGATCCCAAAGTATTTGCAGCTCAAGCAAGAGAGGATTACTTCAAGGTATTCTGCATTTGACATTCACTACTATTTAGTTTACATTCGATTTGTGCGATTTATCTTGTAATGAGATCTAAAGTCCTGAGTGGAAGCCTAAGTCGTTGATGCTCAACCCTTCTTATTCTTTTCTTCTTTGTTACAGCTGAAGAATAGGCTGCAGCTACTCACTTTGGGGATTGGCGGCGTTGGTGTAGTATCGGCATATGTTTCATACACGCCTGAAATTGCGGCTAGGTAAGCCAGCAGGGAAATATTACATGTATGGACCAAATTATCACTTTTAAAATTATCTCTCTTGTTGAACCATAAAGTGATATCTTCTATTTCATCACGTCTATTTAAGAGAGGACTTCACATGTATTTCTTGTTTTATTCATTAGCTTCTTAAAAACTGGGCTTATACGATTTATGATGTCCAAGTGGAACACCTAACTTTAGTTTGAAATTGAAAAATCATAAACTTCATAAATAACCACGAAGAAGCAAAGAGAAGATGTTACAGCATGTATGTGGTTTGACCAAATCCAAAATACATCCATAGATAGATATTGAGAGAGACTACCATAACCACAAAGAATATAACTATACAAAAGAGCAATCACTTATCTCACCATCAAAGAAACCCTTACAATGATAACGTAAGTGTTAGGAATTTGGAAAGGCTACTCTAAGCGGACAAAATATTTTGGAGAGAGAGAGAGGATGGAATTGTAGAGGAGGAAAGCTAGAAGTTGTATGGAGGAAAAGACTCTTTGTATTGAAGAGAGCTGTTTATACAACTTTGCTTTCTACAACTTGTTTGTACTCAACTTGATACCTTAAAAGCATCTCCTCGTGGGGTATTTATAGGCACCATTGATTGTTTCTACATCATTCTTCTTCTAAGCACTTCTACACGCTTCTTCAAAACCTCAAAGCAACTTTTAAATCCTTCTAGAAACTATTTTGGAGAAATCTTATGGACTTTTCTTGATCCAAATATTTCTCATGACAAACTTAGGATTCTCTAGAACTTTCTGTCACTGTAGCACTCTAATATTGTCAAAAAGAAATTGTCAAAAAGGTTTGACTAATAATCACTTTCATAATGAGTCGATCACCTTGATGCCGTGCATCTTTCTTGCGTTCTCTCCAAAGAGCTAATACTGGTTTCTGTCTGCTTCTATTCTCCTCCTTGCAGTCCTAATTTATCAACTGATGAATTGTCTTTCCGCCATTTTCGTCCTTTGACGTGATTCCAAGTTCCAACAAGTTGGTAATATCATTAGACATATTATATTGATATGAATTAAGCCCTCTGCAACTCTTTTTCTTTTTTCAATTTACTTATTTTTGCTCGTCACTTTATTCTTGTCTTGCTGGTGCCTTATAATCAATAACACCATTACACGATAGACACATGCTTTATACGGTTTCATTTGTCTGTGAATTTGCTTTCTTCTAGTGCTTTATATTTTTCTAGCGCTGTAAATTATGGGTATTTCAGAGCAGTTCAGTCCCTCTTGACATTTGCCTTCTGCAGCTTCGGTGCAGGATTGCTTGGTTCGCTTGTGTACATACGCATGCTTGGTAATACTGTGGATTCCATGGCAGATGGGGCTAGAGGTCTAATGAAGTATGTACTTTTTTTTGGTTCTATCAAAAGAATAACCACTGTGCTTTCTTTAACCTTGTTACTGTGAGAACTAAGCATATCCAACAAGATTTATAATAATCATACTTTCTTATAACATGTATTCTGAGATGTCAAAATTATGTCAAATGTTCATTGATTTGTTCCAGATGAACCATTGAGGGGAGGAAATTCTAAAAGAAAATGTAATCAGGGTTTTACGTACTAATAAAATAGTTCATAGGTAATAAATGGTTAAGCCCCCATACATGGGGGTGTATCTGCAGTTAACACATACATTATTTTGAGGATTAGAAAGAGAGTGTTCTCGCAGGGGAGCAGCTGGACAACCAAGGCTTCTGGTTCCTGTCGTTCTTGTGATGTTGTATAATCGATGGAATGGGTAAGTTCATTTCAGGATTTACTTTTTATTCCAAGTTTCAAATGTTTACTAAATTTAGAAAGAAATGTATTGAGTTGTTGCATTTCTCAAGTATATTGTTATATGTAACTAGATGTATAACTCAAATTACGGCTAATGGCAACTTAATTCTGAAGTTACTTTCCGAGTGCAGGATATTGGTTCCAGATTATGGCTTCATGCACCTTGAGTTGATACCAATGCTGGTAGGATTTTTCACCTACAAGATTGCGACTTTTACGCAAGCTATTCAAGAAGCTGTAGTTGTAGTTGACAAGAAAACAGAAGCTTGAACGTTAGCCCTCATAATCGGCATCTTCTGCATTTGCATTTCCCCGATTTCTTCTCAAGAATGGTGAGATTCTTTTTACATTTTAAATATGAAAATTACTGTGTTATCCTAATCCGATTTGAAAATTTTCAATTTCCATGAGGTTCAGATTGGTGGGGGGGCTACAGAAATAACATGTTGCTGATTGCATGAGGAGCAGAAGAAATGGTGCAAGGAGTTGTTGACAAGTTTACTGAATAACGGTGTCATATGTTTCATGAGGTGTATTATGCTGAAAATCAAGAAGAATCACATTCTTTTGTCTATTCACAGTGTATCAAAATGGACTCTCGAGTACAGAGAATCAATTCAAATTGAGTCCTGCTTATCTGGACCAGTTCTAGAGATGTGATCTTCAAGTCTTTGCTCTTTTTCAAGTTAGATAGATAGATGAAGAGTTCTCTTTACAAGGAACCACCTTAAATTAGGTTCCATTTCACGTTAGCATGTTTAATTATTCGCCTTTGATACGCATAAATTTTTCAGAAAATATAAAAAAGGCAAATGGTGTGTTTGGGAGTTTACTAAGGGCCTGTTTGGATTTGTAGGGGGTGAAGGGAAGTTTAAGGGAAACTAGGTGAGAGAATGGAAGGGAAGGGAAGTGAGTTCCCTTCCCCTTGGTTACACCCCAATTTGGGGGGTAATAAATTTTATACTATTAGGGGGTGAATCAAGGGGAACTAGGGTGAATAATTTTACCTCCTAAATGTTTCCAAACAAGGTAAATAGAGGTGAATGGTTCTCCTAACTTTCCTTCACCCTCATTCTCCTCAATCCAAACAAGCCCTAAGGGAAGGGAAGGGAAGGAAAGGTAAACAAAGGGAAGGGAAGGGAAGGAAATGGAAGAGAATTGTAATATGTTGTTTGGGAGTTGAGTAAAGTGAATGAAGGTGAAATTAATATAACTTGTTTGGAAGTAATAATGGAGGGAAGGGGAGAGAATAAAATATATGTAAATTTGCACAAATGACCTTATACTAATAATACATCAGTCATTTTATTTGTTTTGATGGCGGGTAAAAATGTCATTACACCTTTTACCCTCCTCTACCGCCCGAATCGGGGGGAAAGAAAACCAAGCAATTTTACCATCCGTTTCCCTTCATTCCTCCTCTCTACCCTCCTTATAAAAACTTCCAAACAGGATAAAAGCTGCATTTCTCTTCCCCTCCCCCCTCTCTACCCTCCATCCGAGCAAAAGTGAAAAAAAAGAAGAGAATTAGCTCAGATAGTGCTTAATTAGTTCATCCGAATTCAGATGATTGTGGTGGAGCCCACTCTACCACAGCGCACGTTTCCTCACTGCTACGCGATTAATTTCCGCTACACAGAAAAGTCTCGAACTGGCGACCACTTTCGTTTCGCTTTATGAGTTTTGCACTAACCGACGGTGCCGATCTCACGCTGTTGATAGCGATCTAATGTCCCATATATATTAATAAATTCCCACATTAAAAAAAAATGATAACCACAACGCATCCATAAAAAACATAAGCGACATGAATAGCGAGAAGAGTGTTCATGCTGAAGTTTTATATAAAAAACAACGCTTCCTGTCTTTTTTCGATAAATTTCACAAATGATCTTGAAGTTTTATATAACATAGAAAAAGCTTCTAAACTTTCAAAATTTGCACAATTAAATCTCCTGACCATTAGAAAGACTCACAAGTGACTTTTAAACGAGTAAAAACCTTGAAGTAATGAAAACTACGAGTGAGAAGAGTGTTCATGCTGGCAGTGAGCGTTTTGTGAAATTGAAATTTATGAGGTTTCATGAACTTTATACATTTACTTTAAGGGCCTGCTCGTTTGCCTAAAAAAAAGAGGGAAATCAAAGAAATGGAAAACTATTAAAATGAAGAATTGTTTTTGGAGTGTTTGGTTGGCTAAAAAAGAAGGAAATCAAGGAAATGGAGATGAAATAATGTTAGTTGTCACATTATTATTGGATGATGTGAGTGATTTTTTAAGAAAACTAGTTTTGATGTTGTTCGGTTGGCGAAAAAAAATAAGGAAATGAATTATAAGAAACATATTTCCTGTAGTTTGTTGTTTTCTTTTGTTAGGTTCATTCTAAAAAATAAGAAATGAAATGAGATGAGTTGTCATTGTATTATTGGGTGATGTGATCCAAGATTAAGAAAAGAATTTTACCCTCCTCTACCGCCCGAATCGGGGGGAAAGAAAACCAAGCAATTTTACCATCTGTTTCCCTTCCTTCCTCCTCTCTACCCTCCTTACAAAAACTTCCAAACAGGATGAAACCTGTATTTCTCTTCCCCTCCTCCTCTCTACCCTCCATCCAAACAGGGCAAAAGTGAAAAAAAAAGAAGAGAATTAGCTCAGATAGTGCTTAATTACACCAGTCATTTTAATGACCTTATACTAATAATACATCAGTCATTTTATTTGTTTTGATGGGGGGTAAAAATGTCATTACACATTTTACCCTCCTCTACCGCCCGAATCGGGGGGAAAGAAAACCAAGCAATTTTACCATCTGTTTCCCTTCCTTCCTCCTCTCTACCCTCCTTACAAAAACTTCCAAACAGGATGAAAGCTGCATTTCTCTTCCCCTCCCCCTCTCTACCCTCCATCCGAACAGGGCAAAAGTGAAAAAAAGAAGAGAATTAGCTCAGATAGTGCTTAATTACACCAGTCATTTTAATGACCTTATACTAATAATACATCAGTCATTTTATTTGTTTTGATGGGGGGTAAAAATGTCATTACACCTTTTACCCTCCTCTACCGCCCGAATCGGGGGGAAAGAAAACCAAGCAATTTTACCATCCGTTTCCCTTCCTTCCTCCTCTCTACCCTCCTTACAAAAACTTCCAAACAGGATGAAAGCTGCATTTCTCTTCCCCTCCCCCTCTCTACCCTCCATCCGAACAGGGCAAAAGTGAAAAAAAGAAGAGAATTAGCTCAGATAGTGCTTAATTACACCAGTCATTTTAATGACCTTATACTAATAATACATCAGTCATTTTATTTGTTTTGATGGGGGGTAAAAATGTCATTACACCTTTTACCCTCCTCTACCGCCCGAATCGGGGGGAAAGAAAACCAAGCAATTTTACCATCCGTTTCCCTTCCTTCCTCCTCTCTACCCTCCTTACAAAAACTTCCAAACAGGATGAAAGCTGCATTTCTCTTCCCCTCCCCCTCTCTACCCTCCATCCGAACAGGGCAAAAGTGAAAAAAAGAAGAGAATTAGCTCAGATAGTGCTTAATTACACCAGTCATTTTAATGACCTTATACTAATAATACATCAGTCATTTTATTTGTTTTGATGGGGGGTAAAAATGTCATTACACCTTTTACCCTCCTCTACCGCCCGAATCGGGGGGAAAGAAAACCAAGCAATTTTACCATCCGTTTCCCTTCCTTCCTCCTCTCTACCCTCCTTACAAAAACTTCCAAACAGGATGAAAGCTGCATTTCTCTTCCCCTCCCCCTCTCTACCCTCCATCCGAACAGGGCAAAAGTGAAAAAAAGAAGAGAATTAGCTCAGATAGTGCTTAATTACACCAGTCATTTTAATGACCTTATACTAATAATACATCAGTCATTTTATTTGTTTTGATGGGGGGTAAAAATGTCATTACACCTTTTACCCTCCTCTACCGCCCGAATCGGGGGGAAAGAAAACCAAGCAATTTTACCATCCGTTTCCCTTCCTTCCTCCTCTCTACCCTCCTTACAAAAACTTCCAAACACTAAAAAAAGAGGGAAATCAAAGAAATGGAAAACTATTAAAATGAAGAATTGTTTTTGGAGTGTTTGGTTGGCTAAAAAAGAAGGAAATCAAGGAAATGGAGATGAAATAATGTTAGTTGTCACATTATTATTGGATGATGTGAGTGATTTTTTAAGAAAACTAGTTTTGATGTTGTTCGGTTGGCGAAAAAAAATAAGGAAATGAATTACCCTCCATCCGAACAGGGCAAAAGTGAAAAAAAGAAGAGAATTAGCTCAGATAGTGCTTAATTACACCAGTCATTTTAATGACCTTATACTAATAATACATCAGTCATTTTATTTGTTTTGATGGGGGGTAAAAATGTCATTACACCTTTTACCCTCCTCTACCGCCCGAATCGGGGGGAAAGAAAACCAAGCAATTTTACCATCCGTTTCCCTTCCTTCCTCCTCTCTACCCTCCTTACAAAAACTTCCAAACAGGATGAAAGCTGCATTTCTCTTCCCCTCCCCCTCTCTACCCTCCATCCGAACAGGGCAAAAGTGAAAAAAAGAAGAGAATTAGCTCAGATAGTGCTTAATTACACCAGTCATTTTAATGACCTTATACTAATAATACATCAGTCATTTTATTTGTTTTGATGGGGGGTAAAAATGTCATTACACCTTTTACCCTCCTCTACCGCCCGAATCGGGGGGAAAGAAAACCAAGCAATTTTACCATCCGTTTCCCTTCCTTCCTCCTCTCTACCCTCCTTACAAAAACTTCCAAACAGGATGAAAGCTGCATTTCTCTTCCCCTCCCTCTCTCTACCCTCCATCCGAACATGGCAAAAGTGAAAAAAAGAAGAGAATTAGCTCAGATAGTGCTTAATTACACCAGTCATTTTAATGACCTTATACTAATAATACATCAGTCATTTTATTTGTTTTGATGGGGGGTAAAAATGTCATTACACCTTTTACCCTCCTCTACCGTCCGAATCGGGGGGAAAGAAAACCAAGCAATTTTACCATCCGTTTCCCTTCCTTCCTCCTCTCTACCTTCCTTACAAAAACTTCCAAACAGGATGAAAGCTGAATTAGCTCAGATAGTGCTTAATTAGTTCATCCGAATTCAGATGATTGTGGTGGAAGCCCACTCTACCACAGCGCACGTTTCCTCACCGCTACTCGATTAATTTCCGCTACAGAAAAGACTCGAACTGGCGACCACTTTCGTTTCGCTTTATGAGTTTTGCACTAACCGACGGTGCCGATCTCACGCTGTTGATAGCGATCTGATGTCCCATATATATTTATATAATCCCACATTAAAAAAAATGATAACCACAACGCATCCATAAAAAACATAAGCGACATGAATTGCGAGTCAACAATGCTGTACATTGCAAAACGCTTCCTATCTTTTTTCGATAAATTTCACAAATGATCTTGAAGTTTTATATAACATAGAAAAAGCTTCTAAATTTTCAAAACTGCACAGTTAAATTTCCTGACCATTAGAAAGACTCACAAGTGACTTTTAAACGAGTAAAAACCTTGAAGTAATGAAAACTACGTTCCTGACCATTAGAAAGACTCACAAGTGACTTTTAAACGAGTAAAAACCTTGAAGTAATGAAAACTACGAGTGAGA